TGGAGCGGACGGAACAAGAATAGGATGCAATATGTTGTCATCACATTGACCATTCCCAGCACCAAAATCATTTCTCTTGTCATCCAAGAAACGATTGACACCGTTACAGAATAATAATAATAATAAGTGTTCTTGTATAGCGCACAAATCAAACTGCAAGGCAATTTCTCTAGGCGCTAAAGTTTTTTCCCTCGTTCACTGGATGTCAATCTCAACGGCACATCGTATTGTCAATCTCAACTCCCTGGGGAGCATACAACTCTTGCAGCCACTAGGCGCACCGAGTTATTGTGGCATTCCCATCCTTACGAGGTACCCATTTTACAGCTGGGTGGACTGGGACACATAGTCACAGTACTTTGTCCATGTTTACTGCACGTTGCTGTACCCGCAACTGGGTGTTTGCACGTATTCATGTGGCCACCATCTGGTCATATACCAACGGATTCGTGGGTTCTTTTAAGTGCACAGGGTTGTGTACTGTACACTAGGGGTTGTGACAACACTGAAAGAGTCTGCACACAAAGTTGACTCCAAGGTTTTTTACACCCGGTCACAGGTGGGCTCGATCCCGTCACCTCAAGCTCGCTGGATCACTAGCCTGGCGCTTTAGCCAGTTCGCCCACCGCGCCCCCAAGTTCGCCCACCGCGCCCCCAGTTCGCCCACCGCGCCCCACACGTAAATCATGGTGAATAATTGTTGCCCTGTCATACTTCTTGCTAGACACAAGTCCTAGACACAGCACATACATTGATATGCACCAGTGTTACATCAAGCAGTGAGAGTAGATGATCATGTACATACAGCTTCCTAGCAGACTGTCACCATCACAGTGTAGCCTATGTCTCAGTGTAATCTGTGTTGTAACTTGCCAACAGCGTTTTCTTTCAACAATGACGAAACTGGGATTCGTCCTAATAATGGAGCCCGACCCTGGTGTTGCCCACAGTCTTTTGACACAATAGTTCGACATACCCTTCACCCGTGAAGATCCGGATTAGAATATTGATCGTCAGTAACCCATGTTGTCGTAAGAGGCGTTTGACAGGATCGGGTGGTAAAGCTCGCTGACTTGGTTGACACATGTCATCGGTTCCCAGTTGCGCAGATCGATGCTCATGCTGTTGATCACTGGTTTGTCTGGTCCAGACATTGATTATATACAGACCGCCGCCATATAGCTGGAATATTGCTGAGTGCGTAAAACTAAACTCAATCACTCACTCGACATACCCTTCACAGTGAGACTTTTTTTAACTCAGGCTGCATAGAGGCGGTTTGATACGGAAGGGTTGGATATTCGCCTTGCTGTTATTTTGAGACATTCTCTACTGATAACAGAAACAAATATGAATCTGTTGACGTTGCAAGACGATATTGTCCACATGTTGTCTCTTTACGTCCTGATCTTCCCGGACACGTTGTAACCCTACCTGAAGCTACGTGGTCAGCAATCGAGCTTTACACATTAGTATTTACCAAACATCTGGGTATCTCTCCCTCCGTTGTAACCAAAATTCTCCATTCATAGAGAATATGTTTTGGAATCAATATTAAGCATATGCACAGCTCAAATGCGTTCAATATTTCTTAGTGCTTCAATAATGCGTTCACATGCAACGCCGCGGTAATCTAAATGCATCACTGATCAATACACTAATTCCAGTTCACCAGTTAGAAAATGTCCGCAGAAGGGCTCCCATGTAAAATTCATTTGTGTGCAAAAAAGGGTAGTCTGAATCATAGAATCATTGTTAATTTCGCTATGTCATTGTGAATTCCTTTATCACAGCCCTCCAAATCTGCACAATCTGCGTCAGATGATTTGATTTTGCCGATGAACACATTACCGGGAAAGCTATAGCTAGAAGCTCTTCTTTCCCAAACCCGTCAGCTTGTCAGGTCTAATGTTTTATCATACTTCCTTACTTCTACCGTGTTGCGATACACAAATTATTTATTAACTGTGGCGATGTGTTTTGGAGAGAAAATTCGAAAAAGTACATATGCACTGCATTGTCAAATTCAGTGACATCAATATAGCCCGTCGTTTGATGTCATTACGTCCTCCTCTGTTCTACTTCATTGTATTTCTGGCATCACCAATCAAACAAACCTTGAAAGAAGTCAACTGAAAACCTATCGAGCAGCTGCCAATCTATTGTTGTCAAAGGTGCTTGGAACAGCAGCGATATCAAACCTATCAAAACATTTGTATATACACGGTCTTCTCGAGAAACATTGACCAGTTTATCTTCCAGGATATAGCCCAGAGACAACTCTTCTGAAGATGTCCAGTCACTTACTGCAGGAAAGATATCTACTCGCGATGTATGTCTCAACAGCCTGTGGTGCGACCAAACAGAGACAACAGCTTAACAGAAATGAAAATAACTTTGGAATACACATACTATCCTGCAGTGGCTCCTGACATATATTTGCGATGTCAGAGTATCATCATTGACAATGTTCGTGCTGGTGTACCGCAAGGGTCTGTTTTCGGACTAGTTCATTTAACACCATATACTAGACATCCCAAAACAGAAATAATCCCCACGCAACATGGTATAGTCCGCAGGGGGGGGGGGGGAACTAAAACAATAATGTTTTACAGTGATACAGTGAAAATACGTATTGCATGATTATTGGACCCAGAAGCATACTTTGACTAATATTGCTCCGTGAAGATGCAGCAGTGAAAATCACGGCAGTTCTCGTTACATCTGACTGCGTTAATGTACCGTCCTCCAACAGCAGACTCACCGTCACAGCAGACACAGACACAGCAGTCAGAAATTCAGAGTCAGGCGACTCTGCCCTTTTTGCCTTAAAGATGGATTATCGTTTGTGGAAAATGAATAGCATGTAGTATTTGTGTGAAAACAATATGCAACCATAAGACGCACCATGTATTTTCAAACATGTAACATCAGTATCACATCAGTCTTTTATAAATATTATGGCATCAGATAAATGTAGTGTTGTCTATGATATTGGTCAGTTCTTACTTAAGGTGTATAAAGGTGCCCTTACACGTGAAATGGGTGTATGATAAGTGTACATATCACAGGCAAATCTTTATACATGACAACTCTTGCATGGAATAATTCATGGACTCTGTATTGTAAGTTATTGCGAAAGTTAATCCAAGATTGTATTTTGGGTCAATGGCCTTGATATTGGAATAAAATGTCTGTCTGTCTGTCTGTCTGTCTGAAATTCAGAATATGTTACTTTACCTAAATTAATAACCTTGACCACAAATCACCTGAGCTAAAATGTCACATGCCATATACATCGTGGATCAACGTGGAGCAAGTCTCTCAGGACTACCGCTACAACATCAGTCTCTCTTAGAGGTCTTCTTCCTTTTAAACCAATGTGTTGTTTGCAAAGATCTCAAAACAAAACAAAACATGTCATCAATACTGACGGTAACGAGTTTTGAAAAAAGTTCCTTCATTAGTAGTAGTAGTAGTAGTAGTAGTAGTAGTGGTAGTAGTAGTAGTAGTAGTAGTAGTAGTAGTAGTAGTAGTAGTAGTAGTAGTAGTAGTAGTGGTGGTAGTAGTAGTAGTGAGTGGTAGTAGTGGTAGTAGTAGTAGTAGTAGTAGTAGTGAGTAGTAGTAGTGGTGGTGGTAGTAGTAGTAGTGGTAGTGTAGCAGTGGTAGTAGTAGTAGTGGTAGTAGTGGTAGTAGTAGTGAGTAGTAGTGGTAGTGGTAGTAGTAGTGGCAGTGGTAGTAGTGGTAGTAGTAGTAGTAGTAGTGTAGTGGTGGTAGTAGTAGTGGTGGTAGTGGTGGTAGTAGTAGCAGTGGTAGTGGTAGTGGTAGGGTAGTGGTAGTAGTAGTAGTAGTGGTAGTAGTGGTGGTAGTGGTGGTAGTAGTAGTGGTGGTGGTGGTGGAAGTGGTGGTGGTAGTGAGTAGTGGTAGTGGCAGTAGTGGTGGTGGTAGTAGTAGTAGTGGTAGTAGTAGTAGTGGTGGTAGCAGTAGTAGTGGTGGTGGTTAGTAGTAGTGGTGGTAGTGAGTAGTAGTGGTGGCAGTGGTAGTAGTAGTAGCAGTAGTAGTGGTAGTAGTGGTAGTAGTGAGTGGTGGTGGTGGTAGTAGTAGTAGTAGTGGCAGCAAGTAGTAGTGGTGGTAGCAGTGGTAGTGGTGAGTAGTAGTAGCAGTAGTAGTGGTAGTAGTAGTAGTAGTAGTAGTGGTGGTAGCAGTAGTAGTGGTAGTAGTAGTAGTAGTCGTAGTAGTGGTAGTAGTAGTAGTAGTAGTAGTAGTAGTAGTAGTGGTAGTAGTAGTAGTAGTAGTAGTAGTGGTAGTAGTAGTAGTAGCAGCAGCAGTAGTAGTAGTAGTAGTAGTAGTAGTAGTATAGTAGTAGTAATGGTAGTAGTAGTGGTAGTAGTAGTAGTAGCAGTAGTAGTAGTAGTAGTAGTAGTAGTAGTAGTAGTAGTAGTAGTAGTAGTAGTAGTAGTAGTAGTAGTAGTAGTAGTAGTAGTAGTAGTAGTAGTACCGTACTGCCTTGCATTGCCTACATTTCTCATTTGTAAATTTTTTTTTTTTTAATTTAAGTCACATGATGGCAAAGATGCTTCATTTCCTCTGGAGGTTGCCGTAAATTGTATTAAATAGTTGCATCTCTGTGACACAACAGGAACGTAAGATTATCGGATTAAAGCCCGGTTCGCTCCATTCTTATTTCCAGATATGTATGCTGTGCAGTAGACGCCGGAGACTTGCATTAGGCAGGGCTTTCCTAATTAACACGACGTGACATAACTGGTCCACTGATGAAAGCGTCCGTTTGCTGTCCGTTTGTATAATGCCGAAAGGGGATCACCTTCCCTTGCCAAGTAGTGCTTGCGAGCCTACATCAAGGTATACTTTACACATTTTCTGTCTACAACCGACAGAGACAGGAGCATATACCAACAGCCGACCTCTTAAACTTGTGTCGATGTGTTCAACAATGAAGCAAATGCAAATATTTGAGAAATATTTATTGATACGTATAAACAGAGTATTACATCTCTACTGTCATCATGGCTGTGATAAACATACTGCGTTTGGAATGAAGTTGTTGAAAGGCTTTTAGAAGTTGGACGAACATGAATCATACTTTTATGTTTCATGCATAACAGCTTCCTTAGATTCTTTGTACGACGTTTCCGAGCTACTTCTTGCTCTTTCATCCTGTCATTCACCTGATGAAGAAGCAAGAAGTAGCTCTGAAAAGTCATATATAGAACAAAAAGAAGTTATTATCCATAAAACGTGTCATGTATTTAGGTTTTGGATTGGTTTGAATCAAACTTGGACTGTTGGTCACTTAAGGTTTGAATAACGACACAACAACGTTACTTAACCATTGTGGTGAAGTCACCAACACGAAAATGTTCACCATGTTACGATGTCTCACCGTATGTGACCCTTGATGTCTCGTATAATTGTGCTCAAGTCGCCCAGGAACAGCAAACATACGGGTACAAGCATCAGTACAACACCAGTGTAACCAATCCCCTTCGCTGATGGTCTGTCGTCATGGACACTGGTTCGCTTCCGGATTGAAGACCCCAACGACCGCTTCAGGAGAGTTAGGTTACGAATGAGTTGCAACATTTGCGAGGCATTAGTTGGTGTGTAACAAAGATAGTGGCATGCGGCGGGAGTGCATGGTGATGTAGTTATGGACGGTGTCGAGGAGGAGATGGATGTGGTTTGGGGAGAGGCTACAGTCACTGCAACACCAGATGACCCTGCTGAGTCAACAGATATAACAGTGGTGCTGTCCAGTCCGTTTGATGTCTGGGACATTGGTGATACCGGTGTTGGTGGATCGAGCATGGTAGTTACCTGTGTTGATGATTGGGGTGTTGTAGATACCGGTGCTGATGGTTCGAGGACGGTAGATGCCTGTGTTGATGGATCAAGCATGGTAGATAGCTGTGTTGATGGATCGAGCATGGTAGTTACCTGTGTTGATGATTGGGGTGTTGTAGATACCGGTGCTGATGGTTTGAGGACGGTAGATGCCTGTGTTGATGAATGTGTCTTTGTAGATGACTGTGTTGATGAATGGGTTCTTGTAGATGACTGTGTTGATGAATGGGATCTTGTAGATGGCGATGTTGATGACTGGGGCATAGCAGATACCGATGTTGATGACTGGGGCAAGATAGATACCGATGTTGATGACTGGGGCAAGGAAGATACCGATGTTGATGACTGGGGCAAGGTAGATACCGATGTTGATGACTGGGGAAAGGTAGACACCGCTGTTGATGACTGGGGCGTGGCAGATACCGATGTTGATGGCTGGGGCGTGGCAGATACCGGGGTTGATGAATGGGGCATGGTAGATACCACTGTTGATGAATGGGGCATGGTAGATTCAAGTGTTGAAGACTCGGGTGTTGTAGATGCTGACTGAATGATGACCACAGATGAGGCTAGAGCAGCTTGCGACGATGATGCCAAACCGATGGTGGATTGCTCTGAAATGTGAACCGTTTGCTACAGATTCACTTGAACAAACTAAACAGTACTCTCCACTGGCCGGGGTCATGTTTATACATTCAAGGTCTTGTGTCACAGGATTACTTTACATGTGTAAAAAGTATTTCGTAACAGTCCAACAAAAATAACTTAAATCAACGATAATCACAAGTCTCCAGATCGCATAGGAATCGATTAATATGAACGGTAATGTGTTCCTTCTTGTATGACGCTGCGGCGGTCTGTAAATAATCGAGTCTGGACCACACAATCCAGTGATCAACATCATCAACATCGATCTGCGCAACTGGTATTCGATGACATTTGTCAACCCAGTCAGCGAGCCTGACACCCGACCCGTTAGTCGCCTCTCACGACAAGCATGGGTTGCTGAAGATCAATTCTAACCCAGATCTTCACGGGTTAGCCTCTTTGAACAAGCATGGGTTGCTGGAGATAAATTCTAACTCGGGCCTTTAAAGTTCCGCTGAGGGTACGCAACATGCTATGGAGACAATCTAGCTAATACGACGGCGTACGTGAGCATGCTCGAGAACGTAACTATCGTTCAAGTCCACGAAAGGGGTAAATATTCACTTTCAGAAAGAAATCATGTATTTTAAATTCTTACCCGTTAGTTTTTGGACAGTACAGGCTCCGTGGAAACTCAAAGCTGCAGCTGTGTTATAGCTATACACATACACAGCCACCTCCTTGCTGTCCAGTGACCTTAGTGTGTGCATGCCTGGGGATAGCGTGCTCCTCACGGCAACATAGGCACTGTGTACCTCTACAATAGTGAACTGAGTCATTGGCTGGTCATCCAAAACAAACTCATAATGGTTGTTCTGTGATTTCGATGTAATAATGACAAGTTTGGTGTCAGCATCACGTAAAGCAAATATCGTGTGTGTGGCAGAGAACATACTAAACGGCAACATCGTGGTCTGAAGGGGCCAATACACGCTGCCACCATCGGGTTGATACTGTACGTTAATAATTGACTTGTTGCTGGATACCACTTGTCCATTGGGGGAAGAACTCTCCCAGGATACAATGGAACCTCGTTGAACAAGTTCGTGAAAATCAGATCCCACTAATACATCGGTTGTGCTTTGTGCTGAAATAACTCTGAACAATGTATTGTCCGATATGTCAAACACTGGAAAATTGAGAACATCACCTCGTAACAAGTCATATGGTATCATCTGCTCGGCGACTGCCTGACATCTAGAGCTTCCTTCTGGAACATGTGCACACGTTACACCAGCAAACACAGACACGGGTTTATTGGCAGTAATCTGAGAACCTGTCAGATCGTTAAAACACCATATAAACATCACATCAGAAGCATTTATGATGGCACTGATGATATCATTGTCCTCGTACTCCCTGTTACCAAACTGAGCTTCATGCAAGTTCACGTTATTTCTCAGCTGGACCACGACTTCTGTTCCTTCCTCAAATGCTGCAATTGCAATGTAGGACTTCGCGTCCATATCAGCCTGGGAGGCAGTGGTGGAGGCCGTTACGTACGATGTCGTGTTTGTCCGTGTGATGGCGGTATAGCCGTCAATGTTGTCTGCGTACACGAATACCACCACGGGTTCAGTTGCATTTACTCGGATGCCATTCTTCTTTATTGGGAATGGAATGTTTTCAGTTGTTATTGTATGAGTTGAGTGTTGAAGGGAGAATTGGGCAAAACCATTGTTCGCGATTACTTGTTCGTGATTTTCTTGTTTTATTGGAGATCTCGTGGAGACTGTAACTAATGTTCCTTCTTTCCCACTGGCAGTGATCTGAAGTAGACGCCAAGGCACCACATCGTCTACCACTGGGGATACTATCATGAAATCGGTTCCTTCAAATATACAGCACAGCAAACCTGAAATGATTACAAGGTATTGTATATTCCTATCATTACAGGCAATAAAAGCAATCTATTATATATTCCTATCAATCAGACTATTCAAACAGTAAATTATATATTCGTATCAATTCAGGCACTAAACACCATCTAGATTTGGCAAGAAGAAATATATATATATATATTCCTATCAAAACAGGCACTAAAACAATATGTTATATATTCCTATCAATACAGGCAATAAAAACAATCTGTTATATATTCCTATCAATTCAGGCAAAAAAAACCCGAAATATATTGTGTTCTGCTATCAAAACAGGCACTAAAACCAATCTTTTATATATTTCTATCAGCACAGGCAATAAAAACAATCTATTTTATATTCCTATCAATACAGGCAATAAAAACAATTTATTTCATACTCCGATGAATACAGGCACTAAAATCAATCTATTTTTTACTCCTATCAACACAGGCAATAAAATCAATCTATTTTTTACTCCTATCAACACAGGCAATATAAACAACCTATTTTATACTCTAATCAATTCAGGTAATAAAATCAATCTATTTTATACTCCTATCAATGCTGGCAATAAAATCAATCTATTTATACTTTTATCAATACTGGCACTAAAAATCATTTATATATTCCTATCAATACAGGCTCTTAAAACAATGTGTTATATATTCCTATCAATTCAGGCTATAAAAAGAATCTTTTATACATTCCTATCAATTGAGGCAAAACAGCCCCAAATATATTGTATACAACTATCACAACAGACCATAAAACAATCTAGTATATATTCCTATCAATTCAGGCAAAAAAACCCCATCTGTTAAAAACAATGACTGTTGTATATATTTCTATCAGTACAGGCAATAAAAACAATCTATTTTATACTCCTATCAATGCTGGCAATAAAATCAATCTTTTTTATACTTTTATCAATACTGGCAATGAAATCAATCTATTTTATGCTCCTATCAATACAGGCAATAAAAACAATCAATTATATACTCCTATCAATACAGGCAATAAAATCAATCTCCCAAGACAATACACGTGTACACCTATTGGGGTAAGAACGTTATGTTTACTTGAGGCCTACCTGGACCAACTACAAAAAAACAGCACAACTTCACAATGCAAAATGAAAATAGCTCACAAGTGTTACATGTATGTACAAATTATTTTAGTGGCAGTAGAAACTTTTTGGGGTTGAGATTTATCTCCATAAAAATGAATACCGATAAGGATATAAAAAAAATATATAGAAAACCACAAACCCGACGTTGTTGTCAATATTGTAATTATGAAAGTATAACAGCTGACATAAATAACCTCTAATAAGCACACTATTGAACATCAAGATCCAGCATAATACTTCCAACATGACACAAGGCACAAACGGTGAAAACTCACCGATTACACCTAAAACGATATTTGATAACTGTCATTATCACTTAACACAGTAATAATTCCCCTGTATATGAATTTTTTGCTACCCCGATATTGGCGAAATGGTTGGGTCCATGTCTGGACACGCTGCGAGCGATGAAGATAACGGATATCTGACCCCTCAATGTAATCAAGGATTCGGTACCGCGGACGTATCCTGCACCGGAACACACACCAGGAGACAACTATTGGGTATTGGGGCGTATCCTGCACCGGAACACACACCGAGAGACAACCATTGGGTACCGTGGACGTATCCTGCAGAACACACACCGGGAAACAAGAACTGCGTATAGGGAACGTATCCTGCACCCGAAAAACACACCGGAGAGGACAAGGCTGGACCTTACCGTACACGTGCCGTTGGTGTTTTCTTAAGAGGTGGTAACAGCTCTACTCTACACGTTTGGGACATTTTAGATCGCAGAATACAACCTTGATGTACTGGAACAAGCCCTCAACCATCAATGGAACGCTCTATAGCAATTTCATGTAGCACTGAATTAACACGTGATTAATTTTACAAAAGGTTTTGCTCTGTTTATGAGTCCTATGGTGTTTATGTTTTGAAACATCACAACAAAACGCACTATCCGTAAAATACCCGTATTTAACAGCATGATTTTCAATTTCGGCGTGTAGTGTCACAGAATACACAATTCACATGCAATGCACGTGAAACTTGGGGATCAGATAGTCACAATGATGAGTATAAAAGGTTGATCGCTGTCTGTCGATTATTCACTGTATTTGGAATATTGTTGACGAACGCAAAATGCCACGTCTAAGTGAAGCCAACCGTCATATCGCCATTGGTTTGCTTGAAGCTGGCCAGTCTCAACGTGCAGTTGCCCGACGCATGAATGTTCACCAAAGCACCATTTCACGGCTCTGGGAGAGATATCGCCGGCAGAATGCGGTAGCAGATGCCCTCCGTAGTGGGCGACCTCGAGCGATCACTGCGGCGCAGGATCGCAACATCCGGGTACATCACCTGCGTCATCGAACAGCTACGGCGACCAGTACCGCTCGACAAATACCAGGATTGAGGAGGCTTTCTGCACAGACCGTCAGGAACTGGTTGAGAGAGGCTGGTTTACGTGCCAGAAGACCATATTTTGCTTCGACAACAACATCGTCGACATCGAGTTAAATGGTGCACCAACGCTCAGCCCTGGAACCCACATAATTGGCGTAGAATCTGGTTAAGTGATGAATCACGATTTCTATTGGAACGACGCGATTGAAGAATGCGGGTGTTCAGACGTCGACGTGAACGTTTCGCCGACGCTTGCGTTCCCCAGGTGGACAGATTCGGCCGGTACAGTGTTATGATGTGGGGAGCGATCACCTGCCGTAGGAGAAGTGATTTGGTGATGATCCAGGGCAACCTGACAGCTCAACGGTACTGTGACGAAATTCTACGCCCACACCTCCTTCCAATCATTGATCGCCAGAGGGAGTTGTTTCAACAGGACAATGCCAGGCCCCACACAGCACGTCACACTAGACTTCCTCCAGAACCACAACGTCAATGTGCTCACCTGGCCCTCAAGATCACCGGACTTAAACCCGATCGAACATCTGTGGGATGCCCTGGACAGACGGGTGCGACGCCGTAACCCTCAGCCCCAGACACTTCAGCAACTCGCACAGGCACTACAGGCAGAGTGGGCTGCCATTGGGCAACACGAGATTCTAAGACGGTGGTCACACGAGGTATTGACTTCAGCGCCACCACACGTCTCCATGTGACACTCAAACTGACTTTCCTCGAGTTGGTGCCAAAGACGGATAAGTCTGAATTCCCAGTTTGCAATTTCGCTATATTTCATTGATTCATAAAGCCTACAAGATGTTTCAAAATTAACAAAAAAATACAGTTGAAATTCCTATATGAGTATATTTGCCATTAGGGTCCGTGTATCCAGATAGTAGTTTGATTAAGGTTTTATATGTTCCTTTGCTCTGGTGACATATTGATACTATGAAAGATGTGGGGTGTGGCGACACTTTTCCATGTGTTTATTATAAACTGGTTGCCTGTTTCAGAATGAACATGTCTGTCTGTGTGTCTGTATAGGGAACCCTTGTCCTTCTCCCAATTCCGCCGAAAAGTCACGAACAAGTCCCTGTTCCTACCTGGAACCCCGCCGCAGAGACACGGACATGTCCCTGTTCCGTCCTGGAATCCCACCGTAGAGACACGGACAAGTCCCTGTTCCGTCCTGGAATCCCACCGTAGAGACACGGACAAGTTTCTGTTCCGTCTTGGAATCCCGACTGGGAGACACGAACAAGTCTCTGTTCCGTCCTGGAATCCCACCGTAGAGACACGGACAAGTCTCTGTTCCGTCCTGGAATCCCGACTGGGAGACACGAACAAGTCTCTGTTCCGTCCTGGAATCCCGACTGGGAGACACGGACAAGTCTCTGTTCCGTCCTGGAATCCCGATTGGGAGACACGGACAAGTCTCTGTTCCGTCCTGGAATCCCGACTGGGAGACACGGACAAGTCTCTGTTCCGTCCTGGAATCCCGATTGGGAGACACGGACAAGTCCCTGTTCCGTCCTGGAATCCCGACTGGGAGACACGGACAAGTCTCTGTTCCGTCCTGGAATCCCGACTGGGAGACACGGACAAGTCTCTGTTCCGTCCTGGAATCCCCTGGAATCGGACAAGTCTCTGTTCCGGTCCTGGAATTGACTGAGACACGGACAAGTCTCTGTTCCGTCCTGGAATCCCGATTGGGAGACACGGACAAGTCTCTGTTCCGTCCTGGAATCCCGACTGGGAGACACGGAACAAGTCCCTGTTCCGTCCTGGAATCCCGACTGGGAGACACGGACAAGTCTCTGTTCCGTCCTGGAATCCCGACTGGGAGACACGGACAAGTCTCTGTTCCGTCCTGGAATCCCGACTGGGAGACACGAACAAGTCTCTGTTCCGTCCTGGAATCCCGACTGGGAGACACGACACAAGTCTCTGTTCCGTCCTGGAATCCCGACTGGGAGACACGGAACAAGTCGTCCTGTTCCGTCCTGGAATCCCGACTGGGAGACACTGGGAGACACGGACAAGTCCTGTTCCGTCCTGGAATCCCGACTGGGAGACACGGACAAGTCTCTGTTCCGTCCTGGAATCCCGACTGGGAGACACGGACAAGTCTCTGTTCCGTCCTGGAATCCCGACTGGGAGACACGGACAAGTCTCTGTTCCGTCCTGGAATCCCGACTGGGAGACACGGACAAGTCTCTGTTCGTCCTGTGGGAGACACGGACAACAGACCCGTTCCGTCCTGGAATCCCGACTGGGAGACACGGACAAGTCCTGTTCGACTGGGAGACACGGACAAGTCAAGTCTGTTCCGTCCTGGAATCCCGACTGGGAGACACGGACAAGTCCTCTGTTCCGTCCTGGAATCCCGACTGGGAGACACGGACAAGTCTCTGTTCCGTCCTGGAATCCCGACTGGGAGACACGGACAAGTCTCTGTTCCGTCCTGGAATCCCGACTGGGAGAGACACGGACAAGTCTCTGTTCCGTCCTGGAATCCCGACTGGGAGACACGGACAAGTCTCTGTTCCGTCCTGGAATCCCTGGATCCTGGGAGACACGAACAACTCCTGGAAGTCAAGTCCCTGTTCCGTCCTGGAATCCGACTGGGAGACACGGACAAGTCTCTGTTCCGTCCTGGAATCCCGACTGGGAGACACGGACACAAGTCTCTGTTCCGTCCTGGAATCCCGACTGGGAGACACGGACAAGTCTCTGTTCCGTCCTGGAATCCCGACTGGGAGACACGGACAAGTCTCTGTTCCGTCCTGGAATCCCGACTGGGAGACACGGACAAGTCTCTGTTCCGTCCTGGAATCCCGACTGGGAGACACGGACAAGTCTCTGTTCCGTCCTGGAATCCCGACTGGGAGACACGGACAAGTCTCTGTTCCGTCCTGGAATCCCGACTGGGAGACACGGACAAGTCTCTGTCCGTCCTGTTCCGTCCTGGAATCCCGACTGGGAGACACGGACAAGTCTCTGTTCCGTCCTGGAATCCCGACTGGGAGACACGGACAAGTCCCTGTTCCGTCCTGGAATCCCGACTGGGAGACACGGACAAGTCTCTGTTCCGTCCTGGAATCCCGACTGGGAGACACGGACAAGTCTCTGTTCCGTCCTGGAATCCCGACTGGGAGACACGGACAATCCGTCCTCCGTCCTGGAATCCCGACTGGGAGACACGGACAAGTCCCCTGTTCCGAGATCCCGACTGGGAGACACGGACAAGTCTCTGTTCCGTCCTGGAATCCCGACTGGGAGACACGGACAAGTCTCTGTTCCGTCCTGGAATCCCGACTGGGAGACACGGACAAGTCTCTGTTCCGTCCTGGAATCCCGACTGGGAGACACGGACAAGTCCCTGTTCCTCCTGGAATCCCGACTGGGAGACGGGTATTTGGTACTGGGTACCCCTTCGACCACGTAGAATGCACATTTACACGTGGCAATGATTCAAATACATGAAGACATGTAGGTGGCGTGGAGACATCCATAGATGGCGACCTTACCTTGTTATCTTATTGGCGGGTTTAAACTCTGTGGTCATGCAGACAAGGTGTCTGACCTCAGATCAGAAGGTTCGAATCCCATCACGCGAATTAAACGTTTCTGGAAGTGTGCATTGTGTACGTAAAGATCGATGTAAGCTGTTTTGGAGAGAGCGTCCTTTTGTTGAAAATGTCTTGTGCCATACATCAATGTGGTGCGTTACTATGTTTGTTTCAACTGACGAAATTCAAAACTATTTACCTCTGAAGAGAGTAAGCCAGATGAGCGCTTTTTCCATCTGCAAATAAACGTCAATCATGAAAGCACTAGTTGTATTTCCCATTTCCTGAGATTTTGATACTGCGACTAATTCATTTTCACGCGTTTCTGAATCTCTGATAGTGTGCATATTATAAGATACATACTTTATCCAGTAATTAACAGAAATATACATGTTCATTATACATGTTCAATGTACCTTTCAACGATGCATTTCGTAGAAGGTTTTACATATATTGTAGCCTAGTAATTAAAACGTTCGCTCGTCACGCAGAACACCCGGGTTCAAGTCCCCACATGGGTACAGTGTGTGAAGCCCATTTCTTGTGTCCCCCGCCGTGATATTGCTAGAATATTGTTAAAAGCGGCGTAAAACTAAACTCACTCACTCACTTTAAGAGGCGACTAACGGGAGTAGGATGATCATGGATTGAAACTTATGACATCAGTTACTGGTCAAGACTCGATTATATGGAGACGACAGCCACAGAGCACCAATATTGCTGAGTATGGCGTTAAAAACTACGTCCAGTAAAGACAATGATAAATATGTCCATGTTCACTAACCTTGTTAGTATCACCTAGGATCAGCTGGGGTGATCGTCAACAGGCAAACGCTTCTATATCTGGCAGATTTCAAACTACCACTTGTTCATTAATCAACATCGATCTATGGCAACCAAACAAAAACTGCGTATACATTATTGTGTATGTCAGCAGTGAATTGCCTTTATCGATCGGCTTTCTTACTGAAACACACAGCATCGTTTGTGTAGCAGAATACCAAATTGGATCAGTTGAGTCTATTCCGCTGTCGTCATCGAAATATATTTTCTGTAAATCGATAAGCAGTGTAAACATCTAGAGAAACTCGTGAAAAAGAATTGTCCATGTTCTCGTGAAACGTTAAGAGTTATAAATTAACTGCACATTTGATTGATTCTGAGAATAATTATGTTGTCGTGCAGCACTACCAAATAGTGATAATGTCAGGTTTTCGTAAAAATTATTATCATTATGCTAATACTTTTGTGGAGTGCCAAGATCAAGCTCTGCTGCTCAAAGGCGCTTTGAATTTGTTTTTCCCGGGATCATTGGATGTCGATCTCAAAAGGCACATCGTATCATCAATTTCAACGCCCTGGGTACCCCTCGTTCACAGCTTGGTGGACTGGGACATATAGTCAGAGTACATTTTCCACGTTTACTGCACGTTGCTGTACCCGCAACTAGGTGTTTGTAGTATTCATGTGCCCACCATCTGGTCATATGCCAACGGGTTCAAGTGCACAGGGTTGTGTACTGTACAGTAGGGGTTGTGACAACACTGAAACACAAAGTTGAATCAAAGGTTTTTACACCCGGTTAAGGATAGGCTCGATCCCGACACCTCAAGCTCGCTGGATCACTAGCCTGTCACCTTAGACAGCTCGTCAACCACGCCCCACGTGATCTGAAAAGGTGAGCGTACCCTGTCCACCAGTTACAAATATATGCAAAAGTCAATTGTTTTCCTTTAAAAGCACAGGAAATACGGAACAAGAAAACAAAAATCCAGAACTGCATCAGACATATTTGCTTTGTCTCTGATGTACCATGTTCATACAATGTGACATATACTCCTGCTAATTACCTATAAACTGTACATGGATAGATCCGTACCCTTAAACGTCATATTGCAACATGTACGGTAAGTATCAGAAAATGTCGTGGCAAACTCGGGGTACGAAGTTAAGCAAACAAACCTTTAAAACATATGGATTTTGGAAAGTTTACAAATTTGATTATGCAAATATGTAATTATTTCGTCCAAGATACAAACATGGCAGTTTGAGTTAAGGCTGGTCTGGACAAAGTTAAATGTATAATTGTCCTTGTTCCTTGCTAATTAGCAATTGACGTTCTCGTACCTATTCGTTACGACTGTTTACCTTCATAAGCAGACTGCTGATTATATTGACTCCTGGAATGACACACAGATACACATAATGCAACATTGTTAAAGAAGCAGGTAGTCATTGTGCCATGCCTATCTGCCATCGTGGTCGGTATATCCATTGTAAACAGGACAAGATGGTCCCCAAACAATGGAACATTGTTAAAAGCTGACAACAGTCACTGTTTGCTGTCTCTGAAAAATCGTGGTCAAAACACGTATATCAATGTAATCTGTGCACATTTCTACCAACGTAGATACTATATACCTCGTTAGGATGAGAAAGCCACAATACCTCGGTGCGCCTAGTGGCTGCAAAGGTTGTATACTCCCCAGGGAGTTGAGATTGATAATACGATGTGCAGTTGAGATTGACATCCAGTGATCGAGGGAAAAAATACCAGCGCCTTGAGCAAGCACTAGTTGCCTGGATATGCGCGCTATATAAATATCATATGAATATATATATATATTCATATATTGTACGTGTAGATTGATGGGATTCACAAAAATGTATATCCGTTTATAGCACTTCATTTAATGTGAAGTCCGCAAGACGATGTAAACGTTGATTTGTCAAAACGACCATGGGCACCTAACACCGGAACATGTACTCTGCTCCTTTCGCGCCAACTAGATAGCAATTCGATAGTGCCCACTTTTCCAGATATGCCTTCACTTGAAAACCCCGGATGTGAATTCAGTCCAACAACGTTGAATGTAAGATGAAGGCCGGATCTGAATTCAGTCCAACAGAGTTGTATGTAAGATGAAGGCCGGATTTGAATTCATTCCAGCAAGGTTGTATGTAAGATGAAGGGACCTGCGTAGGTAGTTATCCGGGGTTCGAAACAACCGCAAAGTTATAGCTAAAGAAGCAGTACGGATGAACTCAGCTTTTACTTCGAGACAGCCGTGATTTCGAATTCAAAGTTCGACAAAGGAGACCCGTGAAGGTCCGGGTTAGAATATTGATCTTCAGTAACCCATCCTTGTCGTAAGAGCTAGGCGACTAACGGGATTGGGTGGTCAGGCTCGCTGACTTGGTTGACACACGTCATCGGTTCCCAATTGCGCAGATCGATGCTCATGTTGTTGATCACTGGATTGTCTGGTCCAGACTCGATTATTTACAGACAACCGGCATATAGCTGGAATATTGCTAAGTGCAACTAAACTCACTCACTTACTCGACAGAAAGGAGTTTGGCTGCCTCTAGTACCATGGTGCTGTGGATGATGGTTTGTAATACATTGATGAATCTGCAGGAAGACAGGATCACTCAGGCTCAGGTAACAACTCACGCTGTGCTTCTGTATGTTCCGATATATGTGTTCGCGTACGTCAAGATACGCTGCGATACGTTACGTTGTGATGCAATATATGTTCTCAGAATGAGGCTTCACGAGAAGCCATGTTCAATTACGTCACATACGTTGTTATGTAAGCGATGTTATAACATAACACCTTTCTGATGGTGTTACGTGAAGTGATGATATAACGTAACACCTTTCTGATGGTGTTACGTGAAGTGATGATATAACGTAACACCTTTCTGATGGTGTTACGTGAAGTGATAATATGACGTAACACCTTTCTGATGATGTTACGTGAAGTGATAATATGACGTAACACCTTTCTGATGATGTTACGTTAAGTGATAATATGACATAACAACTTTCTGATGATGTTACGTTAAGTGATGATATAACGTAACACCTTTCTGATGGTGTTGCGTGAAGTGATGATATAACATAACACCTTTCTGATGGTGTTGCGTGAAGTGATGATATAACGTAACACCTTTCTGATGGTGTTATGTAAAGTGATGATATAACATAAGAACTTTCTGATGGTGTTGCGTTAAGTGATAATATGACGTAACACCTTTCTGATGGTGTTACGTGAAGTGATGATATAACATAACAACTTTCTGATGGTGTTGCGTGAAGTGATGATATAACGTAACACCTTTCTGATGGTGTTACGTGAAGTGATGATATAACATAACAACTTTCTGATGGTGTTACGTGAAGTGATAATATGACGTAACACCTTTCTGATGATGTTACGTGAAGTGATGATATAGCGTAACACCTTTCTGATGGTGTTGCGTGAAGTGATGATATAACATAACACCTTTCTGATGGTGTTGCGTGAAGTGATGATATAACGTAACACCTTTCTGATGGTGTTACGTGAAGTGATGATATAACATAAACACTTTCTGATGGTGTTGTGTGAAGTGATGATATAACATAACACCTTTCTGATGGTGGAACGTGAAGTGATCATATAACGTAACACCTTTCTGATGGTGTTACGTGAAGTGATGATATAACGTAACACCTGATGTTACGTTAAGTGATAATATGACATAACACCTTTCTGATGATGTTACGTTAAGTGATAATATGACGTAACACCTTTCTGATGGTGTTGCGTGAAGTGATGATATAACGTAACACCTTTCTGATGGTGTTACGTGAAATGATGATATAACGTAACACCTTTCTGATGGTGCTACGTGAAGTGATAATATGACATAACACCTTCTGATGATGTTACGTTATGTGATGATATAACATAACACCTTTCTGATGGTGTTACGTGAAGTGATGATATAACGTAAGCACCTTTCTGATGGTGTTACGTGAAGTGATGATATAACGTAACACCTTTCTGATGGTGTTACGTGAAGTGATGATATAACGTAACACCTGATGTTACGTTAAGTGATAATATGACATAACACCTTTCTGATGATGTAACGTTAAGTGATGATATAACATAACACCTTTCTGATGATGTTACGTTAAGTGATGATATATCGTAAAATAGCGTAATATGACTATGTTGCTTCACGTTATAATATATTATGTTACGTCATATTACGCTGTGTTACGTACTAGTATACATTATGTTTTATTATTTAACTTGTTTGTTGTGTCATGTGTCTTATTTAACTGTAATGAAGTTGTGTTTCTCTAAAAGCAGATGCTAATATGCACAGTGATTGAGTGTGTGTGGTTTTAGGCCGCTTTTAGCAATATTCCAGTAATATCACGGCGGGGGACACCAGAAATGGGCTTCACACATTGTACCCATGTGGGGAATCAAACCCAGCGAATGCTTTAACCACAAGGCTACCCCTTCCTCCCCGAAAATTTGCATATCAAGCATACAAAATGTGATGAGTTTACAAAGTATGGGCATTGCATTCATCTATAGGTATTATCAGAATGGTCACATAACTAGTTTTTATCAACAAATGTTCAGCATGAAATTGTTTGAACTTTATTAAAACATTTAAACCAGGATGTTCTACGTATTAAAATATATTCTTGAAGCATCATTTCCTTACCTTAATTTCTCCTCCATTCAGGTACCAAAGGCGCGATTAATTAATAATGTCGATTTCGTAAAAACATGAGATATATATTCTTGGAATAATATTTAGCCATTATATAAATGCTTGTAAACATCAGTCACATTAATAATGTTATAACTTCTAGCCATTAATGTTACAACGAAGAGATTCAAAACTTTTCATCTCTGCTGGGTGTTAAACTTGTGTTGATGTTAGCCAGTCGATGTGAATTGCAAATCCTCACATAGCATTGCCTTTGTTCCTTTCAATGAAAACTATTACTGAAAGAATAATTTATACCGGATTTTTGAATATCAAAATCTTAAGAACTGGTAGAGTTAGTCTTCAAGTTATAGACACTGGGCTCATTAAGATGTAACGTCCATATTTCAAAAACGCATATAGCATTCCATTTGTCTGTCATGTTGGGATGTTGAAATACTTATCGGTGTTGATTTAGGCGTGTGGAAAGAACAAAGCATTATATAAAGAACTGTCTGGTACATACAGTCTCGTTTTCACAGACACAGAAACGCCTGTTATTCAAGACATCACTCATCCAAACCACCGGAGTTCATTCTCACGATGTAAGATTGGCACAGGTCTCCTACAACGTTATCTGTACTTTTAATTGCTGATGGACAAGGCCAGTTATTGAGCCGCTTGTAAAAGGAAAACTCTCAAGATTTTGTACAATGATATGAGGTTTCCATTCTAGATCGCTGAGACAAGAGGAACGCCATAACGTGGCTCACGAAACGGCAGGTATGCTGAGACAAGAGGGGAGATTGATTGTAAAAGTGTAAGTATAGAAGAAGAATGGTCACTTCTACTATGGCCATCATAAGAGATTTGAATCTCTATTGAATAAGTGGAATCGATTAGTTCCCGGAAAATACATGCTTCTATATGTTGATTTATCATCAGTCAGCTTGAATCTGACGTTTGACTGAGTGATTATGAGTTCATAGTTCGCCAAATCCAGTCTGAAAGCATGTAATATCTATCATGACACTATGATATAAACCAGCAAGTAATGTTGTGACTTGTTATAATCAAAACAAGTTTCAAAATATTAACGTTGTTTTCATTTTGTTATTTTTAGAATGTTTACATATTGATTTAAGTGAGTGACTTTAGTTTTACGCTGCACTCAGCAGTATTCTAACTATATGGCGACGGTCTGTAATTAATCGAGTCTGGACCAAACAATCCAGTGATCAACAGCATGGGCATCGATCTACGCAATTAGGAACCGATGACATACGTCAACCAAGTCAGCGAGCCTGACCACCCGATCCCGTTAGTTGCCTCTTACGACAAGCATTGGTTACTGAAGATCAATTCTTCACTATTGAATATAATAATTCCAAGGCACCACAAGTGTGCTTTTGTTTGTACATCTAGTACATTCTGACGTTCCTGACTGCCATGGCATCTATGCCAAAATATCAACAAAACACATTGTACAAGTGGAATTAGAAAATTGATTATCTGAGTTGATTTTTAGTCTCGGGGAAAAGAAATAATTTAGTTGTCTCCGTATTTTCAAAACCATGACAAATCTACAAACATCAGCTAGTGCCACGGGCTGTTGGAGATTTGTAACGGTGTTATCTGTTTAGAATGATGGATCAATAAGCGAATGTCAATAACAGCTGGAACATTCACTTGACTGACTGTTTACTCGTTACCAAAGCAGAAGGCGAGTAAACAATTGTTCTGGAGAAGTCTCAGTGAAGGTACAAACATAAAAACCACTTAAAAGAAGATAAACGACTAGCCATTTTTACATATCACTTGAGGTATGTCATAATTAACTATTGAAACGGCAGAGAATCAGATGATTGGAAGCAGGGCAAGCAGTTCTCTGAATGTGATTTGGAGAATTCTTAATACAAACGATGATGACATAGACGGTAATGATAATAACGGATGGCAAAGAAAACGATGACTGTTCTACCAAATGTTGACTAACTACCTACAACATTCTACTTTACCGATAAAAATATGATTCTGATTTTGATTTGAGTCAAAAGTACGTTCCTCGTTCCTTGATACGTGGTTTCCAAAGCAGAGTTAAATTCACTTATGTCATATAATGAACGTGCATGTTATTGACTGGGCGTGTCTACATTGATGCTGGTATTAGACAGCGCTAATGGCGCGTATGAGTCATGGGATACACATGAGGGACTGATTGGTTGGTGTAATCACCTGTAGTGACGAATACATCGATTAGATGCTTAAACAACCGGTTAATACACTGTGGTCTACTGATTTTGTTTTGTCGTTTTAAAACATTTCCCCCCCAGCACTTGCAGTAAAGAAGTAAATATAATTTTCTCTCATGTATGTAAAACATTCAAGACAATGCACACATCTCAAAGTACAGAATGAACACTACAAGGATAGACACAAGTGTGTCCGTATATGTAGATCCTCAAGACATAGACCACTCAACCCCGGGAAGTAAATCAATCGACAGTGAAACTCGGGACGAAACAGTGTGATTAAATGGATTCGTGGTCTTTGATTTATTTTTTACTGAAGAAGCTGGAGTTTTTTTGTAAATATAATCACCGAATCAATATTTCATTGCGGGGTCGATGTTTCTATTTTGTATGTTCACACATAACCAGGTTGGGCTGGCTGTGAAACGCTTTGGTCGCTAGGCATATATGTATCTCTTATCTGAGCCAGGGCCTAGATTTACGAAGCTCTCTTAGCGCTAAGATAGTCGTAAGTTAATGTTAATGTATGACACTTACGACTATTTTAGTGCTAAGAGAGCGTCGAAAATCTAGGCCCAGGGCCGTAAGTCCAGTGTTCGAATCCTAAAATCGGCCAGACAGTTTGCCGTTGGTTGCATCCCTGAGTCGGCAGAGGAGGGTGAGTTAGGTGGTCGAGGGAGCTGGTTCCAAGAATGATGTTCCATTGTTATGTGCACTACTTTGACTCTTACTTCACGCAGACTTGGGGAATATCGGCCAGACCCTATCGACCGACTGATCATACAAAAGCAGGATGTGTGTGTGTGAGAGGGGAAGGGGAATAACTAGGTTGGTGATGATATTTACGATGTAATTATTTAACTCCCCAAAAAGACAAACGTGCACGGGATTAAAGACCACCCGCAGATAAACGCATGATATATTTCTTGGCATATTTTTCTGTAGATGGTGTTGATTCATTTTGTTGTATGGCAGGTATTATCGATAATTATCTCCTCTGCCTCTTTCAGTCGAAATTGGCAGCAACACCACAAATGACATCCAACGGATGGCATGGTAGGTGATGTATGAATTAATAACAAGTTTGAATTTCCCTACGTTGACTGGGAAACCATTAAACAAACTGACAGTTTACAAGCATTGAAACACGTTGAAAACATTCAAGTCAGATGTAACATATGTTATATATATATAGATAGGATTACATTCTCAGTGAAGCGCACTCCAGTACATTTTAGGTTGAGTCCAGTCCAAGACCAGCATTGATTGAAACTGTGTGTCTTGATGCTTTCAGAAAATCACCTGTTGTTAGATTTGTTGTCTATCTGCAGGATGGAGATCGTTCTTTAAAACAATGTCAAAACTATATGAGTGTCTCTCGAGAACATCACTAAATGGCGCATCGCTCAAACCTGTATCACATTGGTCTTCTCTGGAACAAGAAGATGTGACGTGTCGTGATACGACTGATGCTGCACAAAGCGGAGTTAAACCAAACTCATTCTCTCACCAGAAAGGCTCATACGATGTCATGCAATATTTCGAGCCCGTTTCTGAGTAAATGTGTTGGCTATAGTGATATGTATTTATGCAAAATACTGGGACCCAAATTTGTTGGTGTGATTTTAGTACACATGGGTATGGTTTATTGTGAACTTCTATTTTAAGTCAAAGGTTAAACTGTTTATATACTCATGTCAATAATGGTTGTCACCCCCTCCTCACCCCAACCCCCCACACACACACACACCTCACCCCCAACCCACACCCCCTCTCCAATTAAAAAAATTGAAGGGGTGACAACCATTATTGGCATGAGTGTATATAGTGAGGACATCAATTGTCAAAACATAATATGGCATGACTGAGAGACACAATAATTGACATCAATAGTTTAATTTTCTTATTGTCAGTACATGGACATTCAGAATGTGGACTATTGAGGTCGGACATATAAACTGGAACTGATATGAACTGAAACGTGAGGTCAGATGTTTGATAGGCTTTTAGAAGTTGGTAGGGTAATACAAGACACTTGATATGGATGTGCAACAACTTCCTGTACATACTATATATACCTATGTAACTATTCACTGTCATTCACCTGATGAAGGGGCAAGTATTAGCTCAGAAACGTCGTGTGTAAATAATAAAGAAGTCGCACATCCATATCAAGTGTCTTGTATGAAACGTGAGGTGGTATCAGCCAGCAGAGGAGCAACCTTGTCGTCTCTTCCAGGTGGAATTATACTGAAATTCGCTTTTCAGATATTAAGAGGGGGATAAGCCAATTCCAAATGTCCAAAACCATAAACAATGCGTGACCATGACAACCGACACACCGTGTGAAACAGGACAGTTGTACGCCGTTTTAAGTCTTAGTACATTAGTAACCCCTGTTCTTGTCGTTTTTGGTGGTCTTGGGGACAACGACGATGTTCAGCAGTCGATGGAGTGGTCATCTGTCCGAACTACCCTGTAGCCGCACCTGTTGTTGAAGGCTCGAACCACCTGGCACCACTCAGGCATCACGCTTGCGCTGTATCTGCCAATTCTGATGACAATAAACGAAAGATGATAATATACTTTAAGAACTTCCATTTCTTTCTTAATTGGTAAATATTGAAGACATCTTCCTCATACACTGCAGTTCTTCTTCTTCAGTTCTCATATCAGATGTAATTCTCTGTTATTCTGTGGGATATTACAAAATAGCTGTTTAATCAACACTGCACGGGACAGAAGAGATAGCAGCAGTCAATTGCTGGTCGTGCGAGGCGAGTAAGTTGACTCGGGAAACTACACAGTGATTTGGTTGACTGGATGTGCTCTCAATCTCTTTTTCTCTAGCCTAGTCTACGTCATGTACAGCTTTCATGCAACTGGACTGATTGTTTTGACAGCTGTATTAAATAACATTTCTTTGCCCACTTACTAAACGCGGTATATAAGGGGCAGTGTCACTAGAATATCGTAATGCATGCTAGTAACTAGCTCTTGACATTACCATACAAAAGGTTCTAAACGTGCACATCGTGTGGTAAAACCACCCTGGGCAATGATTACTGTTAAACATAAATGAAGTGACATTTCGTACATCTTCAGGTATCGGTGATGAAGCCAGCCAACACTCACCCGCAGCATTGAAGACCGCGCATGGAGCATGTGCACAGCTTGCAGTCGGAGGCTATCCCTTTCTGACCGGGTCTCAGGAGGAGGTCAAGATAGGGACAGTGAAAAAGGAGGTCACCTTCTGTAAAAGAAATTTAGTGATTGGATATATTTAAATAATGGTGCAGTTTTCAATGGACTTGGGGAAGAATTAAAAATAAAAAAAGGGGAGATTGTCGTAGTCGTGTGAAATAATGATATTTGTGGTAAGCTTGTCTCGAAATGTGGATCACGTCTCTGGTTTAGTGGATAGAGCGTTCGCAGGAAGAGAGGAAGTTCGGTGGTTCGATACCCGGACTTCGTCATACACTGTCCTGTCTAAATCTCCCCTGTACAGAAAATAATTGCAAGGTCTGGAGAGCTCTGGTGGTATGATTAGGCTATTGACCAATCAGAGTTCGACTAATGTATCTTAAGGGTAATAATATTAGTTGTCCGTCTGTCTCGAAGGGTGAAGGGGATCATTAAATCTTTTTGACGAGACTGGGGTGTGTGTGTGTGTGTGTGTGTGTGTGTGTGTGTGTGTGTTTTACATAGGCTCGTCCACTTTTCACAACACACAATATATACAAAAGGATCGGTTATTTGTTTTGTTTGTTTGTTGTTTAAGGCTGCACTCTTACGACAAGCATGGGTTACTGAGGATGGGTTCCACTTCTACCTCGGATCTTCACGGGACTAAATCAAACAGTTGGCAATGTTGCCCTATTTCTTAACCAATTTCGAGAACAATCAATCAACATGTATCATCAAGAATGGCATTTCACATTAGAAACAAGTTCTCGTTATGATCTATATAGATCCTTCAAGAGTCTCATCCAACCAGAAAAATACTTATCTGTGCTAACATCCAAAAATCTCAGGCGCAATTTTATTCAGTATCGACTTGGTCTTTCAGACCTATTCGTAAATAAGGGTAGAAGATTGTCAATAGAGAAATGTTTAAGATTATGTCCTTTATGTCATTCAGCCATTGAAAACGAAATCCATTTTACATTTTTCTGTCCATTTTATGTTGATCTAAGAACCAAATATATACCAGTGCAATATCAGTCAAAATATCCCGAAACTGCCTTTGGTCAATTTTATCCTCAAATAATGAAAACGTTATTCTCCAACTTGCCTTATATGTAAAACATGCTTTATCTTTAAGAAATGAACTGTTAAGCATTGATTAACTTTATTCCTTTCATCCTTGTATTATTGTGTGTATTTATATATGTATATCATGTATTCTCCTTGTATGTGGGCCGGAGGCCTTAAATACAATAAACACTTTGACTTGACGACATACGGATGAACAGTCGCAGGATTTGGTCGATGTAGCGATTTGCTGCAAGATTGGCTTGAACCAACACTAGTTCTGATCTACCCGTGTAGGACATGGCTCCCCACACAATGACGCTTTCTCCATCAACTCTGTCCACCTGTTGAAACGCAGTTCGGCCAAAACGTTCGCGTCGACGTCGATAGACACGTTGTCTCCCATACCGTCGTAGCAGGAGGAAACGTGATTCATCGCTAAAGCAAAAGTTTGGTCGATATGCTCGAATTCCCACTTCTCTCAGACGCGCAATACACAACAACATGATTTTCGGGATTCAAACATAGGAATTGTTTTAATGACGATTGCTATCAAAATATATGGAAATGAACCTCTGAAACGCCTGTGCGTTTCTATTTTTGAAGAGTGAATATACTCCGAAACGTTGTGTTTCTCGTAATGAAGAAGTTGACATCCATAAAACTCTCTTCCTTATGTGTATCACTTCATGTATGTTTCAAGTATAGTTTTTCCCTTCACTAAGACATCGCCATCGGTCATTGACGACTGGGTAATGTTACAGCTGAATACTCAAATAACCAAGGCTGTTTGAAATAACTCCGATATTGTAATATACACTGAGCTTTATCTACAGCAGAGGGGTCACAGGGTCAGATCCTAATTGCTGCAATTAGCTGGTACTCGACGTAAACAACGTGCTCACATACACAATATATACCAACCGTCATGTAGAAGTAACCAGCAAATCTATATGTACATTTCCAATGGATACAAAATGAAGTTCTCTATTTTGCTTGTCGTATTAGATAGTGGCGTTGAATTTGAAACAACGATATTTTTGGCTCAGTTGAACTCTGCGGCTGCAAACTTCCAGAAACTCCTTTGAGTTTTCAATAAAAACAACTGCAAACCTTTGCAGGTCAGCCAGAAGTGGATGGGAACTGGGTGGGACAGGATTGGAATTCTCTTTCCTCTGTTAACTGAACGCACTGGCAAATCCTGAAAGCCAGTGTACGGGTTCAGTTCCTTTTAGACATTTCTGAGACAACAACCCAATATTTTGACGTACACTTTCATAGCATCAACACCGATTTAAGGTGATTTTAATCATCTAAAATGGAAGCCGACTGGGTACGAAGTGTTGGCCCACAGCGTCATCGTAATAATGCATATTATTGTATTATTACCCAAGACGTTGCCTTAAATAAAATTAATGGCAATTATAATACCGTGACAACCGGGCTCTTCTGTTGTATATAACATTGCAGGTGCGCTGAATCCCACATTTGTATGGTGTTCAGGTATGTATCGCGCACACAGCCGTTAAAAAGTAAGTACATGTATACCTCTGCACCCTATACGAATCGTGAGTGTGAGTGAGTGAGTGAGTGAGTTTAGTTTTACGCCGCACTCAGCAATATTCCAGCTATATGGTGGCGGTCTGTAAATAATCGAGTCTGGACCAGACAATGCAGTGATCAACATCATGAACATCGATCTGCGCAATTGACGAATCGTGAGACACCACATGGTGGACACACGGTGTCATGCTTGCTTACTTGGTTGACTGCGTGCAAACGTACTCTGCCGACGTGGATCTTTGCTCATGATGTCAGTCACTAGGTGTCTGATGCAGGAGTATTTCGATGGCGTCAATCAGCAAACAATAAGTAATTGTTCATCGTAATAAATTCGCAATGAACTTGACATTTCGCTAACTTGACACCACTCTACCATTTTTAAGCTAAAAGGTTTTGCTTTAATTTATAAGATTTCACACAGTAGATGCCAAAAAATAAACTGCTACTACTTTTAGGTGTACTATGTACAAAAACAAAGTATATAACGTTAACCAAATAAGGATTCTTATTAGAAATACAAATCAAACATTGCAAGTGAGCATACTGGTGCATCATCTTCAGGTGAAGGCTATAACCTACCAACTTCCGTCACATCAAGTCGTGAGAACACACAGCCACCTTCAGCCTCCCACACCAGTATCAACGTCAGTGAAAGTAACACTAAGCTCTTCATTTTGTACAGCTACAACAAGGCATACACAACAGCTGCCGACTGCCTTACTTATATTAAGAAGAACCGGTGAACCATGGACATGTTCCGTCTGAAATAAATGATCCCACCTCATAACGCAACAAAATGTATTCAGCTTTAAATGGATAATAAGATGTCTGGCCAGTGGTTGACATTGTTTCATTTTCAACCATAAACAAAATTCCAAAGATACTGAGTGAGATATATGATCAGTATCAGGGGCTTATGATTACAACACGGTGGTTTCAATTTCATATGACACAGTTTGCATCGACACCGTCTGGTATGGAGTGATGAGCGTTCACAACCAGCGCCCTATCTTGTGTCAAGTGACCTCTCATTATCCTATTTCCATGTCCATTATCTAGTGATAGATAGCGTCCCCTCAGTGTGGACCAGAGACGTAAGGGAAGGTTTTCTTATGCTTCAGCAAAACACCGGACATAACGGAAGTTCAGGCACATGGCGTTTCCGCTCGCAGTACTGAAGACACGGCGATTAGGATTTATTGTATCTGTTTGGCCGAGTCTACGGGGGCAGTGCTCCATAATTAAGGGATACTTTGTAGCGCTTGTACTGTGTCGTGAAAGATAATGTAAATGCGTGTGAGAGGTCGTCCTGGCTGACTGTAAATATGAGCGAGCAGACATTATGGACCACTTTGTGTAAACATCCAACAACCATTACCTTCATTAACATGAGCAGTAACTGCGGCGCTAATTATAAATGGTCTGACCAGATTAACTATGGTTACTGATACCTTGTGATTCCTGAGAACTGCGGCGCTAATAATAAGTGGACAAACCAGGGCCCTGTTTCACAAAGCGATCGTAGCACTAAGGTGATAGTAACTACCATATCTTAACATAGACTTACGACAGTCGTAGCGCTAAGGTGATAGTAACTACCATATTTTAACATAGACTTACGACAGTCGTAGCGCTAAGGTGATAGTAACTACCATATTTTAACATAGACTTACGACAGTCGTAGCGCTAAGGTGATAGTAACTACCATATTTTAACATAGACTTACGACAGTCGTAGCGCTAAGGTGATAGTAACTACCATATTTTAACATAGACTTACGATAGTCGCAGCGCTACGATCGTTTTATGAAACGGGCCCCTGAGTAAGTATGGTTACTGATACGATGGGATTCCCAAGAACGCAAAGGTAAGCTGCGAATAAGAATAAGTACAAAACTGAAATTGTTAATTCAGTAAATGACAACAGAACTATGAACAATAGATCCCCCAATTATACCGAAACACAATTTCTCCCACAATATCTCACAGTGGGAGCAGAAATACGTACATACTAGTGTCTTGAAACAAGCCTGTATTTTGTTCTTAAATCAAAAACATGATTGGAAGTTTGCAGGAATTGTCATTTCAGTCAGCAAGACGCAGGTAGGTACGATGGCAATCATATTCACATTCCCGAAGCCTTTGCAACCAATCAATACATAATGTGTGTTCACAGCTGATTGATGAATCTGTAAAGGGAACATCCTGTTGTATCTGGCAAGTACAATATTCGACATTTTACAAGCGTTTCAGCCATCTTCTGCCACTGACAACCACTGCTACAACAATATCCGTGTCACACTGCATTAACGATCACGTCGGTGACCGGGATACAGGGGATAAAATACAAAATATGATAGTTAAAACTCCTACAAGCCAATAACGAATGTAATGCTGATATGCCCCATGATATAATTCAGAAACAAAATACAGGTCAAGAACCTTCACCATCTGTCTCTTGTTCAGTCATCCAAAGTTATTGAGAGAAGAACAGTTTACTTAATGCCTAATGACGGGTAGACGGGTTGATTGTAGCAGAGTATATTCATGATCAATGTATTGTGCGCCCGTAGGGTAAAAAATAATTATACAATCTAAATATGATATGCAAATAAATGGCTGTTGTATGGCTGTTGCAATACTGTGTTTCATGTGTGTAGTTACGAAAATCCAGGACAGGAGATGTATACTAAAAGCGCTATATGGAAGCAGTCTGAATATAATCGAGTCTTGCACAGACATTCCAGTGATCAACAGCATGAGCGTCGATGTACGCAATTGGGAAACGATGATACCCGACCCCGTTGATGGCCTCTTACGACAAACATGGCATTGATACTCCCAATTGCGCAGATCGATGCTCATCCTGTTGATCACTGGATTGTCTGGTCCAGACTCGATTATTTACAGACCGCCGCCATATAGCTGGAATATTGCTGAGTGCGGCGTAAAACTAAACTCACTCACTCACTGACACTGAGGTAGGTACTAAGCAACAAATAAGGTAATATGTAACAAAATTGCTTCGTTTAACCTTTTTAAATGACGACGAGTAACTCGTCTTATGTCCCTTTAGTAGCAGGATCTGCTGGTTGGATCCTGGAATCCATGTCTCATCTCGGTGAAGATGCTTGGTCCATCACACCGCCGTTATCATGGTGCATGGATAACTGTGATTTCGTTCCTCGTTCAGCCATCAAATTACTGAACTAATGTTTAAACTGACTGACTGAGTTTGGTTTTACGCCGCTTTTAGCAATATTCCAGCAACATCACGGCGGGTGACACCAGAAGTGGGCTTCACACATTGTGCCCATGTAGGGATTCGAACCCGGGTCTTCGGCGTGACGAGCCAACGCTTTAACCATTAGGCTACCCCACCGCCCCAACTAATGTTTAAAGGGTGTTAAACCCCGAACTCGCTCACTCACAGAATTATAGCTGTGTAAACTTCACTGAAACACTACAGCTATATCCTACCGCTGACTAAATGTAACAAGTGTCACATTACAGTAGGCCCCTAGAGGGCATTTTCACAGGAACACAGGGTCATAAATATTCGCGAAAGTGAGGGTGACCTGTCATTGGAACGAGCGCCAACAGGCAAGATTTGCTAGGAAGGGGAAGTAATGAGGACGAATGACTGTGGCTCCTGAAGCAACTTCTATCAGGTAAAACCCACCCCGTTCCTGTTTCCTCCAGATCTGGGTCACACCTGTAGATGTCAGTGCCAGAATCCCCTGTCCGATAGGGGAGTGGGGAGTAATGTCACTAATTCATGTTCCCTAACATGGGGGCCGTTCTGTGGCTCTTGCCTCTGATACTTATTAAATGGCCTTGGCATAACAACATAAGACAACATCTCAGGAGAGCTGTACCTTTAGTTACAGTTTTGGGCCCCAGTATCATGTATGTCTCAATGCACCATCTGGGAAATATGATGTAATTTAGATAGGTTCTCTTTTTGGAGGTTATCCTTTTGTCTTTTTATTTCCCCATCATTATTTTCATCTGCATATGTGTATTCAAATGAATATTAATAATATTAATATTAAATTATATTATATTAATAATAACTAAAAGACTCTTTTCTGCGATATAAAGCCTAATGATTCATATTAAGTCAAGTCAATGTGTTGGGCACAAATAGGCCTTTTATTGGCCCACGTCGCCCTAAAACTACACCATCACCAGAACCACCGTGAGACTGATGTGACATTTGTTAGCGTTCTAGTTGTCTTCCAGAGAAGGTGTTCATCTATCATCGTTACTCCTCAAAAAACAATGTGTTGTGTCAATACACATCACGCTCTGGTATGCGTGATTTACATTCTGCAATTGTGTCGTCCGTGCTGGTTACTCGTGGGAGAACATGTCGGGATGTCGTTTGTGCAATGTAGTCCAAGTATATATAATGAATCTCCTTGTCTCTCGATGTTGTTAATATATAATACCAAACCTAGTTCCCAAGGTTTTATGTAGTCTATATATTTCTAACAGTTGACAGCAATTGCTCAATCATAACAACACTTATCGAAAACACCATTGGGATTCTGAGTTCGAAAAGGACGCTGTAGGCGACCAAACAGACCGGGTGGCCAGACAATGTTATACATGCCGTGAACGTCAACGTGGTTCATAATATCAAGGACTGGATTGCCTTGTCCAGACTCGAGTGTGGCGTTACAAAGTTTGAACAATTGCTGTCAGGATTAATTTCTGGAATTTAGATGAAGTTCATACTATCTTGGAACAGTTACATTGTTTGTCATTATCTTTAAGTGAGCGAGTTGCAGTTTGATAATGTCCTTCTTGTACATGTGTTATCATCCAGCAACGACTATAGACGTGGAGCTTGTACTGATTGCGGACAGTGCAGTGGCCATAAAGGTTTCACATTCTGTGAGTAGACAACAAAGTTAAGAATGGAGACTGATCCGAAACCATGCCCTATGAAATGGTTCAAACGGCGGATCAAACAGCTAAAGAAATTACGCAAGGTACTGGAGTACGTGTCAGACGGTAAGAAAGTGCAGCTCATCGTCATGTTTGAAGGCCATGTTTTCTGCCGTCAATTAGATTAGTCCCGAATCACTTTACACTGTTTTTAGCGTTGTCTTATCAGGCTACGTCGAAATGAACGTCTCGCCAATGTCCTCCTGAGATCTGTCAGATCTGCCGGTGGATCGATTATGGTATCGGGGGCGAACGTCAGTCCATATTGCTTAAGAAAAGTACTGTCAGCACAACCGTTTGGGATGCATATGGATGAGTTTTTTGTCTAATAAACAATGCTAACTTCTAGCACTAACAGCATAATGGACAATCGCCATGGCCCGTAATGGATTTTCACCCTATTTATCACGTCTGAAATATGAGAGGATGACGTGTGCGTCAGCGTGACTGACCAGCTGGCTGAACTTGGCCAGGCGCTGCAAGAAGAGTGGGACAGACTCGATAGACAAACCATAGAGATATCACCCACTACTCAAGATGCGTCATCTTGCGACTATCGTCCTTCAAGATCGTTGGAGGTCATGTCATTTATTACAATACTTCAATACCAGTTGCAATACGTTCCCACGTATTTCATTATTACATACACCGATTACAAGAAAATAACTTATCTTAAGTTACAATTTTGGTACTTTTGGCCTATTTCGGAATAGCCCTCCTTCCTCAGAGAATAATATTGTGTAGGAAACATATAGAAGATTGTTTTCTATCATCTCGGGAAATATGGATGCTGATATCATTTCGAGGCATTTAAGTTTGTTAATGAACATTTGCAAGTTGTAAGTTGTATGTTTGAGTGGATATTAAAATTTCACGAACATGCTCGGTCATGTCCGTAACGTTGTCAGATGAACACACTAACCAGGCATCTCATGAACTGGTGGGTGCGTCCGTGCGTGTGCGTGTGCGTGTGCGTGTGCGTACATGCGCGCACGTGTGTGTGTGTGTCTAGTCGTGTGTTGAGAATGTGGTCTCTGCAAGTCCCAATTTGGACATGTACTATAATTATGATGCCGTGTTGAACACGATTAGTTTCCACATGTGTTTGTAGCTGATGCTAAAGGTGGGGCAGTGTATATTCACCTTTACGCCAACTCTCGGTGTGATAATATTTCGCAATTAGTCACGCCTAATGTAGGCGTTCAAAACTACACTCCTTTTCGAAGAGATTACGAATGAATATGGAAAGGTTTTGTCGCTCCAGTTAAAGTAAAGCTAGTCGTGAACCTGTGAAGTGTACGTCTTAGGGACATGGGAAGCCCAGTGGTGTAATGCGCTGTAAAAACCTGAACTGCACGCTATGAAACCTATGATTGTAGGTTCGAATCCCGCCTCTGTTATGTTTGTAGGTTTATCGGCGCCGTACCATTGCTCGTAGACTTCCCCACAGTGGTAAACGTCTGAAATAAGCAATACGTCACCTAAGCTACCACGTTACGCTTTTACAGGAATACTGTTCAATTGTGCGTTCATCCCAACTCATGCACTCACTCACATGAACATTATAAAAATAACATGTTTGTTTTTGATAGTTGTACAATGGTTTATTCCAGTTGTGGGCCAGTACAAGAGTGTAAGGTTAACGGCCGTCAATTTCTCACTAATATATTCTAACTGATTATTTGCACGGGATGTTTTCGTTGTCTATTCTGACAATGGCCACCCCACACTTTCCGATATTCTTCACCATACACGGAGGTTCTGCGATCATTTTACCAGCTGCTCGCCCATATCTGGAACAAACAACAATCGAAATTGTTTTGACAGTTTCAACGTCCTTGTTAAATTGAAGCTGATGTTGTGAGAATTACTGCGTAGTTATGAAAGTCAACCTGACTTACATCCAGTACAAATGACAATGGTGACTCTGGCCAGTTCAGCTCGGAAAAGAAAGGCTTCAAAATTGCATAAAATTTGAACATTTATATTTAAAGTTCTACTTTCAATATGAGTAAAATGTGTGCATATTTTCAAACACTGATATTAATTAATTTTAAAATTATAATGAAAAAAAGTATTTTTCGTGTACACTTCCCCTGAAATTAAACTGAGTAATAGCGTGTTTCGAGATAATCAGAGTGGGCATATTAGATAACATGAGCATTAACGATATCATTCGCTACATCTAGTAAAAGGTTGGAGACAAGCAGGGTAGCGATATGTCTGGCCTGAGCATTCGTTACATCGAGTAATAGCTTCGAGGCAAGCTGGGTAGCGATATGTCTGTCCTGAGCATCAAGGTACAAGTTTGTGGAGCTAATGATGATTGAAATAACTGTGCCATTTCTAATCATCGTATGTAGAAAATGTGACACATGTACACACATATTATCGCCTGTCAGCTGAACTGATGCTCATATTATCAACCACATTGTCGGATTATAACTGAGGGTGTCACAGCATGACAAATTAATGTGTTGTTTGTTGTCTAACGCCGAACTCAGCAATATTCCAGCTTAATGGCGACGGTCTGTAAATAAAATAAATCGAGTCTGGACTAGACAATCCAGTGATCAACAGCATGAGCATCGATCTACGCAAATCGGATAGGATGACATGTGTCAGCCAAGTGAGCGATCCTGTCCACCCGATCCCCTTAGTCAATTGTAACCTGGATCCTTACGGGTCTCCACAGCGATGTATAGTGCTGAAAACACGTGTATCATCATTAGGTGGTTCTGGCACGACTACATGTAAGGGATACACATCAATACACGAGGGATAAGACGCTGAGCTGGATCAAACGTTCCACCAGCCGTCGCCACCTAATCCTGAACTGGCCGCTATGTTTGCTACTGACTGGAAAAAATAACACTAACTCACTCTTTCAAACACTACACAAAATAAATACACATGCACACTCTCACTCACTCACAGAAACATTCACTCAACAAAACACACACTCGATAACTATACACATGCACACTCTCACCCAACCAACTGTTCACTCGCTGACTCACACACTCACTCACACACTCGGTCGCTCACACACGGATAGCATAGATAGTCCTGAGGGAGACCCAATCAATGTGAGTTTGCATAAATTTAGCGCATAAAAGAAGTCGGCGAGTACGTACCCGCAGCATGACATGCCGAAGTCGCCGCAGGTACAGTTTAGGCAGTTTGATTCGTCCAGGTAGTTCTCGTTCACCCCAAATGTTACGTCCCCATACTCGCAGTAGGTTTCCAGTTCTCCCGTCAGTTCTACAAACACAAATAGGCGGTTATGTCCCCTTGGTACGGTCTTTCCGGAAGCGGTCACTTCATTGGCTGATTCCTTCCCGTCATGTTGTATATATTCACTAGAATAACCAGGAAGCAATCTCAAACACCCATAACTGCAGAGCAGTGTTTGTAATAACCTCATTGCTGTACATCCAGGATATGTTCTTTGAGAGGCATTTTAGAAGTTGTGAAGATGAAGGACAACTAAGTTCTATGGATGATCACTTGCTTGATAACGGTGTTAGTACCTACACCGAAACGTTGCACTCATTGCAATAAAGAAGTTGACTATTACTTGCTTGATAACGGTGTTAGTACCTACACCGAAACGTCGCACTCATTGCAATAAAGAAGTTGACTATTACTTGCTTGATAACGGTGTTAGTACCTACACCGAAACGTCGCACTCATTGCAATAAAGAAGTTGACTATTACTTGCTTGATAACGGTGTTAGTACCTACACCGAAACGTCGCACTCATTGCAATAAAGAAGTTGACTATTACTTGCTTGATAACGGTGTTAGCACCTACACCGAAACGTCGCTCTCATTGCAATAAAGAAGTTGACTATTACTTGCTTGATAACGGTGTTAGTACCTACACCGAAACGTCGCTCTCATTGCAATAAAGAAGTTGACTATTACTTGCTTGATAACGGTGTTAGTACCTACACCGAAACGTCGCACTCATTGCAATAAAGAAGTTGACTATCCATAGAACTTAGTTTTCCTTCATCCAGGATATGGCCGGATGTAAACATTCCTTCAAGAACATGATATTTCAAATACAGGTTATATTTTATATGAATCTTCTCGTCAACTTCCATCAAAAGTTGAATCGGAGGTTGAGGTATTGCGCTCCGTTCTTGATGGAGGGATTTTGTCCTGGAGGATCTGTTTGGCGTATTTGGTAAAAGGACATGCATTTCATACGTAAAGGAGATCTCTAGTATAGCCTACGTGCATTTCTATTCGTTTATTGCGGTGAGTAATGAATAGGTACTTACCGTTTGGCTGCTTCTTGGCCCGGCCGAACATGCAGGAAGATGTGATGAGGCAAGGGATGCAGAGCAGGACGGCTACTGTCAGGGACTGTTTCATGATGGTGCCTGGAAAGAAAACACTTTGTTGCAATACATGGTATGACCCGGTTACGGGTGGTCCGTGTAACAACATAGTGTCAAGGCTTGATTCCGTATTTTAGTGGTATAAACACATGACGCTGGATCTCTGTGTTCTCTCTCCTTCTTTCGTGGGCTTTACATCCCCACAACATCTTGTAACACCTCACTTTAGAGGTATTCGTTCTTGTGAGTGAATAAGGCCACTTTCAACAATGTTCCAGCAACGTCACGACGAGGGACTCACGACATGAGCTTCGCACATTGTACCAAACTCGGGCCTTCGACATGAACGCTGTAACCACCGCTCATCTCGTATTTAATATTCATTTACAGAATTGAACATTGTACAGGATTTGTAGTAGATCCAGAACTTGTTTTTTTAGTCCCAAAGAGCATATTGTAGTATAGTTTCAAATATATCTAGGCACCCGTTTTGAACTGTACTGAGGAATTTCTGTGTGTACAAAGAGAGAAGAAAATGCCCAAACGTCCAGACCCAGCGCAGGACTAACACGTATGGTTTGGTCAGCAGAGGACAGGGAACTTAATTCCAATAGCCGAAGAGTCACTACCTGCTTCAGACATTGGGAATGTCGAAGTTGTTCTCTGCTCACCAAATCTTTCTGGTAAGGTGCAAATGGGCCCTCATACTTGATGTATATATAACTATAGTAGATACCATTGCAGTAACGATTGTGTTGTTGTATTCAACCCATGTGATGACGACGGAGCTACGTGTAACATCTTCATGGATTAAGGTTATTCGACCAGATTGTACATCATCCAGATTTAATGGACGTTGCAGAATGAGGCTTTGGGAGAGTAAAGAGCGTTTGTTCCGACACCAGCATCATCAACGTCATCACTCTTATCAGCATAACAACGCTCATTGTTTTCAGCCGTTGGTAATACCTAGCTTAAATGCTTTCAATGTACTTCATTGAACCGTGATTGATTGTTGGGTTGGTTTCATTCAATGAAGGGTAACCCAGACATGCAGTGCTTGACTAGATATCCATCAGTTACCTAGACGACTGTCTGATCTCGTTCATTGTCACGACGATCATGGATTGCTACAGAACAATTCTAACACCTCACCGGATGTACAGAAGATTAAGATGGTGGAACAAATAATGGCATTAAGCATACAACCATTGAGCCGCAGAATATACACAGTAAATGAATGTTGCCTCCTTCTACAGTTCCAGCTATATCATCGAAGCTTTAAACATAGCGTGTGTGGGCCGGGCACTAGGGCTGCGCAATATAACCGGTTTACCGGTATTTACCGGTTCAGACATGAAAACGATACGTATTGCGATACGCTGATCGAAAACCGGTATTTTGACATGCATTCAGAAAACTTCGTAACACTCGGAAATCTTCGGATATTTCCGTTTTTTGAATTGTTCTTTTCCCTGTTTCATTAGTGCCAAATGTTACTTACATTTTTATTTTGTCATGATTAAAAGTTTTTATAAAAGGTTAATCAATCATAGTGATTTTGTTGTGTTTTTGCTTTATAATCAAGTATTAACTCGATTATAAGTAGTTTTTGTTAAAAAAATAATCCTTGCAATATATTGCAATACATATAGCAATATATGCTTCCGCATCGCAATATATTGCAATATGAAAATTCTCTGCAATACCCGACCCTACCGGGCACAGTGACACATAACTTAATAACAAAGAGCCAAAGAAAATCAGAAGGCACATATTGTAATGACACTATGACTGAAAACCAGAGACCATATAATATCTACTATATGGTTTCTGTGACAACGAAAGGAAACGTGGGAGGCGGCATCTGGCAGGAACGGACACATTAACACGAGACAAACGTGATGCGATGACTAATGGTTATAAGTGAACATCTGCGCCCAGCTTCCCACAGTTAGGGTTGTAATGACTGGAATCCATCTCCCTTCTCACTCAATTAGCTAAAATGTGGGTGTGAGTGGGTTGGGGGTTACGCCAACATATTCCAGCAATATCACGGCAGAAATGGGATTCACACATTGTACCCGTGTCAGGAATCGAACCCTCTCCGTCATCGATGTGACACAAAGCGAACGACGTCAATACAAACATGACACAAGTCACTACACAATACGTTAATCTCAACCACAAACCGTCCTCAATCAGATCAACCACAAACACAAAGAAACAAACACAACACAAAACGTCAATACAAACATCAACCCGTCTCCATAGAGAGGCCATAAGGCGCGATAGGTACACTTGCTGTGAAAGCCACTCGAATGGACCACCAATACCAAAAGATGAGTGTACCAAATCCCATCCGGTGGCATCGATCACAAAAACATGCAAAGGCATCTGAACGAACAAGGCAATAACAGTACAAGTCAAAATAGGACATTCTTTGAGTGGCCTTTCAGAAGTTGGGAAGTACTATATGGAACAAACTTGTTGGATAACAACTTCTTTTATTTCGTGAGTGCGACGTTTCGATACAGAATAGAAGTTACAAGAAAATACACCTAAATAAATGAAGTTGTTGTCCAAAACGTTTGTTCAATATGAAAATAGGAAATTGCATAAGACATTTCGTCAATGACGTGTCATAGTCCAGCATTAAACTCTTCGAAAGCTTCACTCGGATCTGACAAGTTACAACCCTAAAATTAAGTACGTCGAAAGGCGCTCTATACAATCTTGATAAAACAATGTATGCTTGAAATATGGATGGCCACTTGTTTCAACAGACTTAATGCAGCTCTGCTGTGCCTTTAAGAACTGCTACATGGTGTTATTCATACATTCCCAAACTCCCACACCCTCTGTTAATGCAGGAATTACATGCCCGCGTTATGTAAATGGTAATTATTGTACATTAAAGAAATAGCTAATGTTCTCTCAAATAGGACTCAGCACACATTAACACTGTGAGTGTTACTGTTGCGCCGCTGAGCCAGACTAGTGTTTTTAAAGGTTTAGTCTTTGATCATAACGACGTAATTTGTGCCAACATATTCCAATATAAACATGTGTTAGGTGGAAGTCATTGAGAGAGTGATGTGTTATGTCGCCTAAAGCAAAACTGCAGCAATAACACGACGGGGTGTAAGAGTAATGACATAGGGCGTGGCATGACCCTTGCCTATAGTGACTGAGTGAGTTTAGTTTTCTCACAATATATGGGTTTCACGCATTGTACCCATGTGAGGAATCGAACCCGGTCTTCGGCGTGACGAGCGAACGCTTTAACCATTAGGCTACCCCCACCACACCGCCCTCGCATATAGTATCAATTGATAAACACAAAGGAGAGTAGGGGAGAGAGGGACATGGGGTTGGGGTGACAGTTGCCTTAGGCGCATCCTCAATGGACCATTAAATTGTTAAGAATGGGGAGTTGATTGGGAGCTGGAGGTTCACAGTTGGAATCTTAGGGTGTACGGATTGTTGGAATCTTAGGGTGTACGGATTGTGGGACAAGGGAAGTGGGGTGTGGGTACAATTGTCTAAGGTCTATAATATCGTCCAGATATTAAAAGTGGCGTTATGCCAACTGATTCACCGATGCTCGTTTATTCACATCCTCGCCCATGTTGTTAAGGATAAGCTTGCTGATAAACTCAGTCAAATAAAGCGGGCAATTAAGCGTTGTTACAGGGTAATCACCGGAACAGTTTTATAACATAAATGCCAATGTTGATATAGTGACGTCATGTTTAATGATATCCAAACGGTCGTGATGTTTCAGTGTACCACTGTAGTCACGACTGACCACGTGCACATTAGGATGAGGTAGATTTTACGCCGCGATTAGCAATATTTCACAACACCAACAACGCCAGGAAAGCCAGCGACAGCGTGGAGGTGAGGTGAGGTGAAAGTGGGTTTAACGTCGTGCTGGAGAATATTTCGCTCATATGACGACGTGCATATGTGTATGTGCAGCTGCTTGTACTAGCCCAGACTGAAGCTGGTTTTATAGTGCTAGCCCACTGAGATACCATGCCGCAGTGAAGCATGAATACCCCACTCAGACACATTATACTGACTCCGAGCCGACCAGTCCTTGAGGTACCCATTAATGCCGAGCGCCAGGCAGGGACCAACAAGTACCATATTTTAACGTCTTTTGGTATGACGCGGTCGGGGATCGAACCCGCGACCCTCCGCTCTCCGGGCGGACGCTCTAACCACTACACCACGGAGGCGGTCACGACAGCGTGGAACTACCGTTGTTGTCTTTTTATGTCCGATCGCTGTGTGGGTTTAATGAACCTTCTAATTAGAGCAGCTGGCATATAGCGTCTCTGGTGTCAGTGATGATTTTGCTTATACTAGGCTGACTGATACCGAAGTCGTCACCATTGCACATTTGCATTTTACCTGTAGCAAGGTAACAAAGAGTAATGGCTACCTTGATGTCGGCGTCTACGGAGAAATTTCTTTTCGTTGGGGAGGTTAATTCGTTCCGTATGTGATCTGTGACGAAACGAATGCCACCACTGTCTAGACGAAATCTCATGATTAGTTCATCGTCAGTATACGTCGTATATACATCCTTTCTAGGGCGGAAAACTCAGAGTCGGCGTTGATTGGTGGCCATTTTGTTGCGTTAAGAAAAATTCTTAAGTGTCTGAGAGTGCTATGTAAAACTAAGAATAAAATGTTTTATAAATATGACTTAAGAAATTTCTTACAGTTAAGCGTGAAACCTATTTTAAAATAATTCTTAGAAATTCTTATAGTTAAGAATTCTTAAGCACTCTAAGAATTTTTATAAATACAGCCCCTGGTTTGCAGTCTACGATCTTGTTATTGCCACATGTGTAAAATGTACGTTTCTTACAGAACGTATTAGCGGGAATTGTGATGCTAAGTAGGCCAGCGAGGTTGTCGATTTAATCTTAGTGTAAAGGGAAATACACTTTTACCGACTCAACACGCAAGCCCCCTTGGAAAACCACCATTTGTTCTAAACTATTTCCCATGTGGTAATAATAATG